TGGGTGTGTGTGATGCCCGAAATGCCACTATTGAGGGCCCCGTCCTCAATAGTGGCAAAGTGCCACTATAACGGGTTGAGATTTTGCCAGGAGATTTTCATGCCACTATATCGGGCACTTTACTATTCAGGTTGCCACTATATCGGGCCACCTACTGTAGTCTATACTGCGATTAACCTACCCCAAGTCTTCTTACCCTGACCTAACCTAGGGTTGACTTACTGCACGACATTCGCCCCCCCCAGGTTGAACGCATACTTATCTGCGATCAGTCTCGTTTAAATTAATACTTGACCACAACGTGCAATACCTGACCTACAACCAATGTCATTCCCTTGCAACAAGTCCGAACCTTTATCACCAGAAATCAGTTCATGCAATACACACACACTCCAATTCCGTCACGACCGTGGTACCACTGCAATATGACCCCATCACAAGGTATATTAGTAGGCCAAAACAGCAGTTGCTCAAACCCAACATAAATATTGACCCGTATTCGACTGCACCCTTTGGCACACTTTTCCGCAGTCCTACGCACTTAAAATAGCACATAATTTTTGACCCGTATTCGACTGCACCACTTGACACACTTTCCCGCAGTCCTACGCACTTTGATTTCAAACACCTAATCATCGTCCAACTCAAACATGTACTTCTCGCCGTTCGGTGTGCATGCCAGCACCACGTTCCTTGATTTTGTACCAGGTCGTCCGTGGTCAGATTCTTCTCCAGAAGCGCCACATTGATATTTTTGCCGATGTCCATCAGCTTCAGAGTATGCTTGATGCCTTCTTCCCCCCTCGGAACCGGAGTCACCTGCGTCACCTTCGCAAACTGCCAACCCGCCCTTGCAGTCTTAAGATATATAGGCACCAATCATCGCCTTACTTCGAAGACTCGGCCTACCCCGTATGTCACAACAAAGTTTGTAATCTTTCTGCACGTGTCTTTCTCCCTTCCTGCCAGCAATCGTCCTTTTGGCACACTGAACACGATACCTCCGATAACTTATGTTCCCTCCGGCCGATTGTTCCGGCTACTCATTCCAATACTTAAGTACCACGTCCCCATATTGCTCCAACTCTACTTCATGCCCCCACGTACACTTAGCCAAACCCGTCCAATGCATGCAGTACTGAACCGCCCCCTTCCCACTGATACCTCGACAAATTCTTGTTCGTACGTATGGTCCGTGCACAACAATTTGTCCAATCACGTTTTGTGCGATAACTTTTTTTTGAAAAAAAATTGGAACGTGAAACAACGATGGTCGTGACCGCCTCGTCGAGATACGTCGATAGCCGCAGAGTTTTTTTTTNCCCCCCCCCCCCCTCTCTTACTGCCTGCTTGATACACCATGGACACCTCACGTTCGCACTTTGAAGACACAACGCATAACTGTTGAATAAACAATACTTCAACGTAAAAAACACCCAATAATGCATACAGAGACACACACATCACGACGCAGTGTTCTCGGCCTCCTTCTCCTCTCCCCCCTCCTTCTCTTCCTCCCTCTGCTTGTTCTTCCACGCTTTGAATGCCCTTTTGGCCCTCCTCGTGGAGAAGGTTCGGCATTCCTGCGAAGCCGCCAACGCCTTCGCCGCCGCGGCGTCCTTTTCCGCTTGTGTTTTTCCTCGCCCCGCTGCCTCCAAAACCGCATCCCCCCTTCGGGTGGCTTCTCGGTGCGTGTGCCACTCCTTGAGTTCGCGGTTCTTGAGGTAGCCCACCATCCCGTCGTCGTACGCTTCAATGTATAGCCACACCACCCTGCTCCACGCGCGGATGTGTTCCAAAGGCACCCCACTCAACGCCCTCGGCAGAATCTTGAGCATGTGGGTGAGGGAGTACTCGCAGTGAAGCCGAAGGACGTGCTTGACGTATCCCCAGTACCGCTCAATGGCATTGAGCTCAGGGTGGTACTTGGGAAGGAAGATGCACACGTGACCGGCGTCCTTGAAGATCTGCTGGACTTTGTTGAGCTGGGCCTTGAAAGCCCCCAGGTCGGAGAAGACCCTTTCCATGCAGCATCGCTGCCTCCTTGCGGCCGCCCTTCCCTCTGCCGCGGGGCCTTCGGCAGGAGAACTCTGCTGCTCCCGCCGCGCTTGCTCTAGAACCCTCTCACGCTGCTCGCCGCCTTTGTTGAATGCTGCGATCGCTTGCCGTGAGGCCGCGTTGTCGGCCTTGCACTTGTTGCAGCACTTGACGAGCCCCTTCGCCCTCTCGCCGTCAAGCCGCCACAACCCCATCTCCTTGAGCATCTGCTCACCTCCTTTGTTGAGCCCGAGCAGCGGCGATCCAGACGTGACTCTGGTTCCGACGGGGTACTTCTTTTTGTCAATCCCCGTTCCAAATTTGCGCCCCTTCATCTTCTTCTGCGCCTCTGTCTTCGGTAAGAATATCTTCTTGTCGGTGAGCAGGGTGTCACCAACCTGAAATGTAGGGTGTACCGTTTTCCCGTTGTCATCCTCGAACACCCTGAGCGCGGCCTTCTCCCCACCCGGCGCCAAGCTGATCTTGTGGGCCAGCAACGCGTCGTCGTCGTAGGCGTTGTGCCCAGTGGAATTGTCGAAGATGAAGACACCCTGGCGGTGCGGCCCGTTCGACAGCTCGAACATAGCGATAGCCGCCGGTAGTTGGGCGCACATGCGGTCGCTCGTCCAGTAGCCATCATGCTGCTTCCCAACAGTCATGATGACAGCAGCCGTCCGTGGGTCGTTCGCTGTCTTGAGCACCTCGCAGTCTGCAGCAGCCTTCTTCAGCACTTTCACCGCATCTTGAATCTCCTTCACCTTGTGGCTATCTTCCCCCTCACCCTCCGTCCTGCCGAAGTACTTCCCAGATCGCTCCGTACCGGCATCCTTGTCCTCCTGCATCATGCCCCACACCTCCTCGCTGATCTGTAGCTGCCCAAGGTCGACGCCGATCACATCCGAGATGTGCGCGGCGCGGCCCTCCCCCTTGACTTTCATGGCGGCCCCCTTGTCCGCTGAGAGCCATTGGTGGTCCCCATCGTCGTTCTCCTTCGCGGTGGTCTCGTCGTGGAACAACAGCGACAACACTTCGTGATCAGGCAGCAGGCGGTAATCCCCCTTTCCATCGGTGGCGATGAGGTCGCGTTGATCGAAGGGCAGCTGCGTGGAGTCGACGCCCGGCTTGCGCATGCAGTTGTAGCACTCACATCGAACGTAGCACGAGCACTTGCCCCAGAGCTTTCGCTGGTCGCACGGGCATTCCTTGAGCCGTTGCACACGCACGCAATCCCTCCCGAGAGCATTCGCGGGGTCGTGGATGCGCACGTGCTTGTACTGATCCTCGTCGTCAACCGTCCGCACTGCTGGCCAGAAAAGCGCTTCGCGTTTCACCTTCTTCGGTCGATAGAACTTCATGACCTCGTCGTCAGGGAGCAAGCAGTAGTCACCCTTGGAGTCGGGTGCCGCCAAGTCGCGCGGGTCGAACGGAACACGCGTGCAGTCGTCTGCCACGCGCTTTGACGTCTCGCCATCGCCGTAGACGCGCACGTGCTTGTACTCCTTCTTGCCCTCGACTTCCCTGACCGCTGGCCAGAGAAGAGGTTCCCGGCCCGTCGTCTCCCCGTTGATGTGCTCGTCGTCGCCCGTCTCCGACCTGGCCCCGCTGTCCCGCTCGTCGCCGCTGACGTCCGAGTCATCTGATGCTCCCTCCTGCCGAGCTTCACCGCGGCTGGTTGCCACCATCACCGTTTCTTCCACGCGGACGGGACTGCCAACGGGGCAAAGATTGAGTCAGCAGCAACGGAAGGACCATGATAGGTTGAGACATAATCTTCGCAGTTGGGTTCTTGCTTGATTTTGTGTTTATGAAGGGGGAGGGAGGGTTACGCCGCGGGTATCAGGCGGACGATGAAGAGCAGTATGTCGCATGTGGCACTTCACAGCACGCCAACAGAATAAAAAATAAAAAAACGCTCGAGGGGTGCTTCATATCCCAGGCCCATTAAAAAACGTTTTCTCACATGGACATGTTCTGGTGCAGGCGCTTTAGCAACTCCACAAAGCTCCGACGGTCGGTGACGACGTCCGGTCTGTTGTGGCCGTCCACGTACACGCACTTGTGGTGCCTCGACCATCGAAAGCCGAGCTTTTGCATCCACTTGTGCACGGTCCTCCGAGAAATTCCTCTCGTACCGGCAAGCTCCTCTTTCAGTAGATCTTCATTGATCCACCTGTTTCAAAGTAACGTGTGTAGAAGTTAAATACTCATACACCATTTCCTTCAAAAAATCGAATTCATGCATCAACGCAAAAATATTCGCTAGTTCGGGAGCTGGTGCCGTTCCCATAAAGATACCAGAGGCTTGTTGGTACATGCCGTTCCCAAATTGTACAAATCCTTCATCCAAAATAAAATCTATCCATTTACAGACCCGCTCCATCCAATGTAATTCGCTCGACTTCTGCTAGATGTTATGTTGCTCGGGTTTTCCTTCGACCACTCGATGTCTCTAACAAATGTTGTCTTATTATCAGGCCCAATACCCCATCTCAACTTCATCGACCCTTACCCATGTCTCTCAGCTTGGTGTTCAAACGACAATTTCAAAGCTTCCCTCAATTTTTCCTTCAATGGTACTACAGGGATATTAGGGTACATACCAACGAAGTCAAATGTTTGGAAGACATGCGCATCAGTACATCCCTCCATTTGTGCTCGAATATCGATATCCTGTGCTACTTCTAGACGACCTTCCCCGCTCGAGGTAATCCAACATTCCTTGGCAGCAATACCAACTTTTGCGCATTCTTCACGCCAGATCGTGTGTAAACAAGGCCGGATACCAACCAGGACTGCGTTGACTACCTTGGCCACCCCTTCTGTGATCGTACCACAACAAGCCGTAATTCCACGTGTCGCTACCAACGGCTTATGTAGTTTAGCAGTGAGGTATCGTGTGGGTAACTTCTCAGTGTTTTCATACTGAGTGTCACCATCCTCGTCTTTGTACTGCTGCTGTGGGATGGGCAACTTTTTATCTAGCAAAAACTTGTGTTGTCGGTCAATGGTCGTCTGTTTCACCAGCTCCAACTCTCCGTGTACTGTCCTATACCCCGGTCCTTCAAGTTCTGCTTTGGCTAGCCTAATATAGCACGCCTTGCAAGTCATACAGATGCAGTTGGCCGCTTTGTCGACTCTCGTAAACACCACCTTCTTGTGCAATTGTTGAAAAGATGTCCTAGATGCAGCAAAATCTATGTGGCCCGTAAGAGGCTTAGCAACCTCCTCCTTGTCCGCGTCAGTCACTTTTTGTTCTATCGCGTCGTCCAAAATATCCTCCCATTCCTCAATGTCATCGCGTGGCACTTTGAGTTCATGACATAAATCGCCAATGTATGGCAAGCTCCTCTTTCAGTAGATCTTCATTGATCCACCTGTTTCAAAGTAACGTCGTGGCAGAGGAGTGTATGCAACGAAGACAACGAAAACAGTGGGAACCGACGTGGGTGGGTAGGGAGGGGGTTCTTCGCAGTACATGAGACAAAGTGTTCACAACGAAAAACTGATGTGAGGGGGGCGGGTCGCTGACCAACTGAGCAGATATCCCGCAAGCAATAAATTCCATTCCGAAGACAGGGTGTCTAAAGCTGGCAGAGGGTCACCTAAAAAAAAAACAACTCACGAATACAAAAGCAGCGTGCCCACACAATTTTGCGCACGGGTTTCTACCTCCACCAACGAACGACATACCTTCGTTTCCTCTATTTCCAAAACACTCACTTTTGCACGTCGGCGATTCGAAGGCGTGGCTCGTCCTTCTTCCGTCGGTACAGCCTCCGGTCGATGTACTCCCTCAGGCGACCGCGGATGTCCTCATCGTCGATGTAGGAGTGCGGCTCCCGCTTGTTGTACTGCCGTTTGCGAACAACGAAGGAGTCACCCTTGCAAAACTCCTTCACCCAACGCCTCACTGTTCTCGAGTCGACGTCGGCGACCTTGCCTGCTTCTCTGCTGTGCTCCATTTTCGCGACCCCATCTTGGATTCTGTCGTTAATTCGGTCGGCATTTTCGCGGGGGGATATGTGGTGAACGGAGTATCCTCTTCTGAGACAACACCATCGCTCAGCAATATCTAACCGGCATGAACATGCAGCGCGAATGGTGCTTCAACGGCAGCGCCGATCCAATCAATGCCCAATGGTTCAAACGAAGATGCAAGACAGGAGAAGACAGCACTACACATTCCCCGCCCACTCACTCGAGAAACAGGAAATGCTTCACGGTGCGGATGACACGGGTGGTGCGAACCAGGTGTGCTTCATCCAGCATCGTCGTCGAATCCTCCACCACTGATCCGTAGTTGTTGGTCTCTTCAGCCTGAGACGAAGGAGGAAGAACACGGGCGTTTTGGAGATGTCGCTGTCAGCAGAAATTTCAGGCGACCTCATCTCTACCGTAGGTTTCGATATCGGGGGGCGGGGGGGAAGAACGGAAAAGAACATGGGCTCACGGCACGCAACCATCAGCACCTAAAAACACGGCGGTGACGCCCTATGGGTGGCCACAGCAGTGTTGAGAACAGGCGCCAAATTTGCCAGTGTCTGACGCTCAAAACCACAACAAATATTTAAAGTTGGCTTTCATTGAAAAGCATTGATCAGGTACAGCTACCACGGACCTCACCTTCTGAAGCACGTCGTAGGCGTTGCGATAGGTTTCCATGAGCTCTGCCTTACGCCTCGACCAGTGCTTGCGTGTTCGATCCCTTGCCCGAGCCAGCGCCGCAGGCGTCCATATCTTGCCCTCCTGCGCCACCCTCTCCCTTCGCACGGCGCGCCGCGACTTGTTCGTCTGAAGCTGCATCGCAGTGACACCTGATCTGTCGTGGACCTCTTCCGGCGCCAGAACCTTGTTGCCTCTCCCTGTCCCACCTTTGTTGTTTCCAGCCGTGTTGTCGTATCGGCGGGTGCCGCCGCCGCCGCCGCCGCCGCCGCTGCGGCTGCTGCTGCGGCTGCTGCTGCTGCTGAAATCCAAACCGTCAAGAAACCCGTCTGATGAGGTATCGCAAATGTCATCCATCGCTTCTTCGGCGTCCTTCATCTCCTGACCGCTACACCACTCCTCTATCAGAAGCCCGTGACCCGTGGTTATGGGCATGTCGCCGACACTGCCACAGCTACTGCTGGTCTCTACATGTCCGCACACGCTGCCGTCGTTCGAGGGACCAGTAGGCGGTGCAATCTCTAAATTCACCGCCGATTCCTCTACAGGACGAACCTCGTTACCGACAGAGGAGCTCTCCACCTCTTCCTGCTCCGACTGTTGCTGCTTTTCCTGCTGCGCCCGCCGCAAGAATGCTCCCATGAATCGTGCCATGTCCTTCGTTTCTTGTCCGAGAAGCCTTTTTCTGTTTCGGAATTTTTGGCTCCTGGACAGTGCAGGCGGCGAGATTTTTTTCGCCGCGTTTCTTGCGGCGCGCGCTGCTGCGGACGCTACAGACCGGTGCGCAAAACGCAGTATCGACTGACCTCCACCACTGCTGCCGTTTGCACCGCTGGAATCCTCATCGCACCACTCTTCATCGTTGGCGTCCTCGTTCGCCGCTGCCGTCCCTGCTTCATCCACGTCCATCAAATCCGCGCCGTCGACTGGTGCATCACCAGAGCCGGGCGATGAGTTATAATTTTGCTGCGCCGGCTCCGGCTTTTTAGGAACCGCCCTGCCATCGGGTCCGCGATTTCCGAATTTCTTCTTCTTTGCCCGTCCCTTAGCCTTCCCCATGGTGCTTGTGTGCGTGTTTTGTGTTGTTCGGGTTGCCGTGTGTGCAGTTGTTGGGCACCGCGTGCGCCCAGGAAAAAAAAAAGTCACCGCATGGCGCGGAACAACAACAACGCGAATATCTCGAGAACCAGATTTTTCCCAGCAAAACCAAGAAATTCCCACCTGGAAATGGTCGAGAGGAATCGTTTGCCGCACTCTATTTTGAAATCGGTCGGTTAGTTATTGCATATAAAACAAAACAAGTTGACCCTTTAAATCAAGTTTTCCCTGTATATCTCCGTCAATTTCGAATATTTCAAAAAAAAAAAAATCCCACCTGGCAAATTCCGAGATCTGTCCAAAACCGTTGAGTTTGGTGGCATCAACAAACAACACACCTCTCGAAAAACAAAACAAGATTTTCCGGTCTATCGGAGATAAAAAGTCAAGGAA